AGGGTTAGGAAGTTATAATGAAAATTTTGAAAGCAGCAACATAGGGGATTTTGCTAAAGCCTTCAGGGAAGATGACTTCTCACAGTGAAGGCGTGGAAAGAAAGAGGTTGGAATGGCTTTATTTAGAGCAGGCGTGAGGCCATTTACCCGGCCCCCGCCGCACTTCAGGAAGGGGCACCTCTTACATTGGTGGTCAGTGAGAGGAGCACAGTATGTGGCGGCCCTCCAGTGGTCTGAGGGACAGTGAACTGGCCCCCTTTGTAAAAAGTCTGGGGACGCCTGATTTAGAGAGTTCTCTTTTCCTGAGGAGAGGCCATGTTGGGAAGGAACGTAAAGCCCCAAAGCTGAAAGTCTCAAGAATGTGAAAGGAGAATAAGGTAATGTTGGAATGTGAGTGGTAGTAGGCTCAGGAGTGAGAAGGCAGGTAGAGGAGCTTCCAAAAAGGGAAAGGTCACTCGGCACAAATTGCTAAAGCTTCGGAGAAGTTGAGAATTGATTAAGGCATTTTTCTGGATTTTCCTGGAAGGCGATTATTGATGGCCTTTGAGACAACACTATATTTCCTTTTTGTTCTCAATGATTTTGCTACTCATTGACCCCTTTCCTGCCTCATACCTCCCCTTTCTTTTTTATTATTGGCTTCAACATGACTTTCTACAACCCCTCAACTTTTATAAATTAACCCAGAAATTCTTTCATAGTCTCCTTTGAGAGAGGCAGGCTATACTTCATTCCTTACTTTTACTTCCAGTGAGACCTTGAAAGTTAATCTGCCTAGATGCTAAAAGCAGATCAGCATGGATGACCACATACTGCCTTGTAGCAATTCCATTGATGTCTTTATGTTTAGTTATTTATATCAGAGCATGTGATTATGAAGGAAAAACAAAAGATACAGGGTCTAGGTTAACTCAGCAGTAGCCACATGCAGGATATAAAGTACTCCTGTCCTGAAGATTCTTGCAAAACAATGTATCCTGTTTTGTTGCAGTTTAGTATGTATTGATTCTGTACCTTCACTCTTCATGCAGCAGAACCTGAGTGACTTTTGTTTGGTACATGCAAAACCCAGAGTCTCACTAAATTTTGTGCATGGATATATAGGTCAGACATCAGTGTGCATAACTATAGTAGTACAAGGCTGAGGGTGATAGAAGGAAAGTTCATTAATAACTGGTAGTAATTTTTTAGCTCAGAAGAAAGAGGGACAAGCAGAAATAATTGGAGTGATATTTAACACTTTAAGGAAGCAATGTGATGTTCAAATAGGCTTTAAAAGATAAGAATCTTTATAGAGAGGAGGATGGCAAAGGACAGGTAATGATGTGTTTCTAGAAAGCAGGTATCCCACAGCATGCTCAGAGATAGAAAACGGGCATCTTTGGGTTGAACACTAGATTAATTAGGGAAGATTGAAGTTACTGTTGATAAGATCTAATTAGAGAGCCTAGAATGTCCTTTTAATTCACAAGCTGTAGGGGAGCATAGCTTGGGGAGTTATGCAGTTAGTAGTTTTTTAAAAAGCTTAGTTAACTTGGTGGTGCCATACAGGTAAAATTGTAGAACGTTCTGTCATTAGGATGGAGTGAGTTACTGGTTCTCAACTAAAGGTGAATTTTGCAATCTTGGAGACATTTTTAGTTGTCACAAATGGGGCGGAGAGAGATGAGATAGGCCTATTGGCATCTAGTGCATAGAAGCTAGGGATCTTGCTGAACATCTTATAATACAAGGGATAGCTTCCCACAGCAAGAGTTATCTGGCCAAAAATGTCCATAGTGTCAAGGTTAAGAAACCCTACTGGGTTATGCTATAGTAACAAACAACCTCAAGTTCTTAATGGTTTGAAACAGTAAAGATTTATTTATTGCTTGGACTTGCTGTACATAACTATACATCATCCACATTCTGGAATCCAGGCTGATGGCTACCACTGTCTGGCACATTACTCACACTGTATTGGCCAGGACTTGTGACAGAACCCCTCCTAACCACAGAGAGGACAGTAATTGCAATCCTTTCACATCTCCAGAAAGGGTCAAACTGTAATATTGACTAACAGCATTAGTTAAAACCATGGAAGGCTACCTTGGAGTAGAGAAGTAGTCAGTAAGAGAGAAACCAGTTTCTCACTGATTGCTTTTAATTCTTCAATTTTTGTCCCTTCAGTAAAGTAAAATCACTGTATATACAGAATGGGATTAGAAAGATGGAGCACAGGCTGGGCACAGTGGCTAACACCTGTAATCCTAGCACTTTGGGAGACTGAGACAGGAGGATTGCTTGAAGCCAAGAGTTCGAGACCAGCTTGGGAAAAAGAAAAAAAGAAGAGACTCTGTCTCTACAAAAAATTAAAACAAAAATACTAGCCGGTAGATTCCATGTCTTTGCTGTTGTGAGTAGTGCTGCAATGATGAGCATATATGTGCACTAGCACGGGAACAGAAAACCAAATATCACATTTTCTCACTTGCAAGTGGGAGCTAAATGATGAGAACACACAGACACATAGAGGAGAACAAGACACACTGGAGTCTGTTGGAGGGTGGCGGGTGGAGAGAGGAGAGCATCCAGAAAAAACAACTAAAGAATACTAGACTTATTATGTGGGTCATGAAATAATCTGTACAACAAACCCCCATGATACAAATTTACCTGTATAATCCGCACATGTACCTCTGAACTTAAAAGTTAAAAAAAAATTAACCAGGCATGGTGGACACCTGCCTGTAGTCCTGGTACTCAGGAAGCTGAAGTGGAAGAATCACCTGAGCCCAGGAGCTTGAGGCTACAGTGAGCTGTGATCACACCACTGTACTCCAGTCAGGATGACAGAGAAGAGATGCTGTCAAGAAGAAAAAAAAAAGAGAGAGAGAAAAAGATGAAATGTTGCCAGATGGTACAGTAATTCTGTGCTGTTAGGCCGATTCTAGACCTGAGCTCCCCTTCAGTTTTGGGGGAACATTATAGGTTTGTCTGGGTATTGTTCTCCTTAGCTGTTCAGGTAGCTGGCCAGGCCCTGGCACACTCTGAACCTGCAATATGAGCAGGAGCTTCCATTGATCTCTGTGTACCCTGCATGTATTGTAATTCAATATGTCAGTGAGGCCGAAAACCTTGGGAACTCCGCAGTAAGCAGTGGGCTGCGTCTGTTTAACAGTTACAGTTAGGACTGAAAATTATCTATTTTAGAAACAACTCTATCCATGGTGTAGAAGGAAGACTCACCTGAAAGCTATCCTAAGGGTTTAGGTAAGAAAAGGTGAAGATTTTGAATTACAGCACTCTTGAAAATAAATAGGATGATGTGGAGATAAAGGTGATTTATTTAGAGATGTGGAATTGGATTTATAATATGTCAAATAGAGTTGATTAATAAGAAATTAGAAATGTTGAACTCAGAAAATGAGGTGCTAGAATGCTGCTCAGTCACACAAGTATTTACAGAGCACCTACTAGTTGCCAACTGTAATCCTAATAGTATCTGAGAACTCTGAGAGAGTTAGAGGTCCTGGGATGTGACCTGGGTGAATAAATTTCTTTTAGGACTGGGAGTTAAACAGTAGCCAACTTGGCATTATTGTCACCTTTCCTAAATTCTCTTCTGCATCGTAGAGGAAAAATTAGGAGCTATGTTTTTTTCAGAATCAAAGACTGACAATAAAAAGCACTCAGAAAATTTTGCAATAGTTTCTACAAGAGGAGAAACTATTATCGTTGACAGTGTAGCATTCAAATGGGTGGACATCAGACTAGAAGCTTCTAGAAGCTTCTTAAGAATTACCATCTCCATGCTGCAGACTGAGAATATCTGATTGCTAACCTTAGTCACTGAACTTTCCAAGGGTTGAATAAGCTTCTAATTGTATCAATTGGAGTATACAAAGTGACTTCCTTTTTTCAGTTGTAATCATGATTATTTGATATTTTCCTAGCATCCTGTACTCTCCATCACACTTTTATAATTTGTGTAATTTTATTTTGTATTTTTTCTGTTAAACTGTAAGCTTCATGGGATGTATAATATCTATTCAGCAAACTGTCCCTAACACCTAACTTGGTCTCTAACCACTTCCTAGATTTGTTGAGTATTGAATGCTAAAGTAGAAAAGCAGAAATAGAAAAGAATGTATGGAAGGACATTTTGATCAACAAATTCAAATTTTCATGAAGTGGTTAAGCAGAAATGGGCCAGGAATAGCTATTAAACTTAGTGATTTGAGAGATCATGGAATTTTATTAAAAAGCACTGTCAGAAGAGTGGTTAGGGTTGGGATTATAATTGCAGGACTTCAGAACAGTCAGTAGTGAAAAATCAAAGCAATTTGTTCAGACTATACAAATGAGTTGGGGCAGAAAAGTAACTTAGCTAGAAGAGCACTGAGGTAAAGAGAGCGTCTGTCTGGAGAAGTGGTCGAATTATAAAGCAAAAGAACAACAGCTGATGGAGATGAGTGAATGGATAATGCTGGAGAAGGAGATATTAATTGAAACGGCAAATTCTTTCACTCCACAAATTGTAATGCACTATAAACACCTTTAGACATTGCTTCCCAAACTATCATTCTAGAACCAGAGTTAGTTAACAGCTTTCACTGTTTCATGAAAATAATAGAGATATAAGGGCAATATTATGTTTTCAGTTAGGCTAAATGTATTCAGTTTAGATTATGTACTTCCTTCATTTGGTGTTACATTGACTTGCTGTTTTAAATTAAACTGTTCAGTAATGGTTCTTGTTGTTGCTGTTCTAAATGCCCCTTTTTGAAAAATAAAAAACCATTAACCTTATTTCAGTTCATCCCATCAGTTTTACTTTTTAATCTGCTTCACAAAATGTAAGAGCCTGAGAACGCACTACTTTATGTATTTAGAAGGAATGAAAAAAGACAAACTGTCTTAAATTTTTGTCAGTGTTTGAAATCTGAAGTTAAGTAGAGTTTATAAATGACAACCAACATAACATTTCTAACAAATAATGGAAAACAATTTTATTTTAGATGAAGATCGACTTTCTAGAAGAAAAAGCATTGTGGACACCGTATCCATTCAGGTGGATATTTTATCCAACAATGTTCCTTCTGATGATGTGGTAAGTTACTTTAAGTTTATGGTAGAGTACTGTCTTAGTGAACATCATTTAAAAGAATGTTTTGCCTTCCACACTTTCAAACAGGAGAAAATACAACTCTAAATTATCCTCAACTAAATTATTAGTAGAAATTAATCTGATTTAGCTTTGAATTTATTTATAATTTATTTTACTGAACTCATTTCAGCTGTCTGTAAAGATATATAAACCTAACATTATATGTTATATTATCGGATTTCACATTATAATTTAGTGTAATTAAAATAACTGTAAAGTATAAGTTTTGTTTCTTTTTTGTTTTTTTTTTGTTTTTTTTTTTTGTAGGAAACTTTATAGAAGGCGTCATTAAATTAGTGGGCCCTCTAGATCAGGCGTCCCCAAACTTTTTACACAGGGGGCCAGTTCACTGTCCCTCAGACCGTTGGAGGGCCGCCACATACTGTGCTCCTCTCACTGACCACCAATGAAAGAGGTGCCCCTTCCTGAAGTGCGGCGGGGGGCTGGATAAATGGCCTCAGGGGGCCGCAGTTTGGGGACACCTGCTCTAGATCCTGTTTATTTTTAAAAGTTTAGGAAATGCAAATTACAGAAACAGAACTATACATCCTCACATGAAACCAAATGCTCACTACCTTTAAGAGGTTTTAAAACTTCATCTTTGAGGGAAAATATTTTAATCATTTTGGATCATAAATATAATGAATTGGATGTAGTGTAGGCTGTGTCAGTGAACTGTGTTCTCTGTATGGACTGTGACTTATTTAAAACATCATAGATTTAATGCTGTCCTCCTGTTTGAAAAGAGCACAAGAGTGTAGCTGTCTTGAGTTATAGGGAAAAAAGCAGCCATTATTCTCTAGGACTTATTCTACACAAATCACCAGAGAATTTTTTCATAGTCAAGTAAAAATGCCAAAATATCAGTATGTCAAGTCATCCTCCACTTTGTGGTTTATCTGTTGTTTACCTTCCTAGGTATTTTATTATTTCTCAGTGGTATAATATGCATAATTAAAAGAATACCCATATACAGAAAGGGAAAGGAAGTTGCCTGAATTTATGCTTTCTCAGCCTCTCTCCTACCTGCTTCCAATTCCTATTGATTTATTTGTCTTCAGGTATTAAAACTATTTGGTGGCCAGAGTACAGCTAACTGACATGTTTTCTATGCCATTCAGCTTCCCATTATTTATTTATTTATTTATTTTTTTGAGACGGAGTTTCGGTTTTTACCCAGGCTGGAGTGCAATGACGCGATCTCGGCTCACCGCAACCTCCGCCTCCTGGGTTCAGGCAATTCTCTTGCCTCGGCCTCCTGAGTAGCTGGGATTACAGGCACGCACCACCATCCAAGCTAATTTTTTTTGGATTTTTTAGTAGAGACGGGGTTTCACCATGTTGACCAGGATGGTCTCGATCTCTTGACCTCGTGATCCACCCGCCTCGGCCTCCCAAAGTACTGGGATTACAGGCTTGAGCCACCGCGCCCTGCCCAGCTTCCCATTATTTAGAATTTATCAGTTTTATTAAGAAATTATCAGCCCGGCATCAAGAGTAGTTGAAGAAGTACTTAGTGTTCATTTGCATTAAGGCTGGTTTAAAGTTTCTTAACAATTTAAGGCTCGATAGCAATGTTTCCTAAATTTACCTCTTCAGATTTGTTTAATTTATACACTCCTTACAAATAAGAAGAGTATCTTGCTAGTTCTGTCTTATAATGACTATGAATTTGCTGTTATTACCTTTCTGGGGAAGAAATTCATCCAAAGCCTTAGTTTATAAACTTAATTTTGTTAAAAGTACAATGTTTTGTTGACTGGTGTTTTCACCTTTCTCCTTTTGTTAACTATTCTTCTTTCAAAACTGTATAGAGAGCACTTGAAACTGTTGGAAAGAGTCAGTCTGTTTTGATAAAATCAACTGAAAAAACATTTGCATAAAGACTCAATGCAGGGGAAAGATTCTTGACATAAGCTTTACATTAAAAGTTTGTAAATATTTGTATTAACTTTTAAAAGATCCTGTTGTTTTTCATTTACTGTAAGTTATAAGTCAAATATGCCAGACAACAAGCATCTGAAAAGTTAAACAGTTCAGTATCACGTTTACTTGAGCACATTTGGGTTTCAGACTCATTTACCATTGTGGAATCTGCTTTTGTATGTATATTAGAGACGTTTGTTCAAATACCAGAAGACAGAATAATACCACCTTCTAGACTAAAACTAATTAATTACTTTCATGTGATGGACAGGAAGAATTCACATCAGGTGGATATTCACCAGTTAATGGTGCAGCAAAATATCAAACTATTTTCTTATAATAAATCAGATAAGAGAATTGCTCATAAAAATTACTTTTTTATTTGATCAAAATTATTTCTAATTTTATATGTATAATCCTATTTATCCTCAAATATATTTGCTTTTGCTTTTTAAACATTATTTTTTTTGAAAAAAGAGTCAGGTTGTTTAGATGGAGACCATAACAAACTTTTGTTTCCCTAGATAACCTGAAACTGTTACTGTAGTCTATTGAAATACCTGGTCCACTTGAGAGGTGCCAGTTCTAATATTACAATTCCAACCTCGGCCTACTTAGAATCATTTGGTGAACTTTTTCTAAAAATTGCCATATATAAAAAGATGTATATTATTATTTCTTCTAAATAATACATTATTTCATCTAAAAATTTGCTGATGCCATAAAAGGTATTATTAATGTTTTTATCATAAAGCAGTTGATTTCATATCGTTTACATATCTCAAAGCTAGAGGGAGATTTGAGAGACTCAAGGTAAAGGGTATTTTTAGAGATTATAAATTGGTGGTTGACTTTAGAGGAATACTTCCCAATGCATATATATGCATACTACACACACACACACACACACACACACACACACACACACACACACACACACACATACATAAAATAGGTGTACATACACATATTTTTAATAATGATGCCTAATTTAAATTAACATTCAAGAAGATAAATGACTAAAATAGAATAGAGGCACCTCTGCCTCCTGAGATAAAATTGTCAGCTTGACTAATAGAATAAAGCACTATAGGAATGATTTTTGGCTTCCTTATATATGCATAATGGACATGAATAAAACCTGAAATCACCACACTAAAAAGCTGTAAGCTGATTGTTAGTGCTTGGTTATTTAAGTGCATGGATAGGATGTTATATATATTGAATTTTGAACATATGTTAAATTTTTAATACAAAATTAAGTCACCAGTTGACTGCAAAAGATTGTTACTTATTCTAGAGCAAATAAGAGATCTTTGTTTTATGTACATGTACTCCTGCCTTTTTCTCCAGATATAACGGGAGAAACTTGGGTGTGTGCTAGCATCTAGTCAATATTAGTCACACCCTGTGGTGCTAGGTGCTATCAAATTACTATGATATTAGTAGAAATGACATAGCAACTACTATAATTAGAAAAAGATGAATGGCAGATTTTATGTAGGCCCAAAGGCATTATATAGTCTAGGTAATAGATCGTAGATAAAGCAAAAGTCACAAATTATAAAGGGAATGTTGAGATTCTTTTAGAATGGTGCCTTCGTACCACTTCTCCATAACTCCAACATAACTGGTTTTTCCTCTAGAGTTGGAACAGATTATAGTTTGGTAGATCACCAAATAATGTGCATAGCTGGTATTTGCTAGCTGTGGTGTATAAAATGTCAATCATTAAATGGTAGCATAAAGCAGTTTAAAAAAAAAAGATTTCACAAAAGGGAAGAGTGGGAGATAAGATTGAAGCAAAATTATAGAAAGTTATATACCAGGCTGATGGCTTTGTATGTAATTTAGTAGGAAGTAGGTAAACACTGAAATTTAGATAGTGTCATTATTAGAGTTGTGCTTTCATAAAAGGAATCTCTCAAGTGTGACAAGATTAAATTGGAAAAAAGAGACTAGAGGTAGAGGCCAGTCAGGAGATCCTTTTAATAGTCCATACTTGATGGAATGAGGATCTAGAGTAGCCAGGCTAGAGGTAACAAAGATGGACAGGAAGGCAAGAGTACTCTACTCTAAAGTAGAATGAATAGGACCAACAAACGACTTAAAGGGATTTAAAGAAAGAAGATGTTAAAAAAAAAAAAGACACTGATGGCATGACTTGGGGGTTCTTGATTTTAGGAAGCTGTATCATAATTTTCTGAATTACAGCAAAGGGAGAAATAGAGAAGAGTTAATAGGGTAAGGTACTTTAGCGCTTATCTGAGATTGACAGGTAATAAGTAAAAATTATATGTAATAAGAATGATGGCCTTCCAACTTCTCCCATGTTCTTTTTCCTATACTGTAATTGTTTCTCAAAAGTCAGAAGCTCCTAGCGAATTCTAAGAACAACAGCAAATTTTTTTTTTCACTGGGAACTAGAATGCTTCTAAGTACAACCAGCCAGAGCCTAATCTTATGTCTGCTCCAAATATCTAGAACAAAACAACTGAAGATTCCCAAGTTTAATCTGACTTCAACTAGAAATACGAACCCTCAGTAGCAAAACTGAGGGAGTGGAACTCTTGCTGCTTGATTTCCAGCCAGCTAAAGCCTTTGATTTAAAGAGAAGCTAAGGTGCAGAGGATGAAGTCTTTTGCTTTCGTTAGTCTCGCTGCCTTCTTAGACTTAGCAACAGAAGCTCATGAGCTAAAATTAGGGATGACAAGAGTTCCAGGCAAGTACTCACATTTCATTTCTTAATTTTTATTCAGACATACTATAGGAACTGGATATATTATTTCTCCTGAAAATGTGCTGATGCCATAAAATGTATTATTGACTTTTTTGTCATAAAGTAGTTGATTTCATCCCTTTTTACATATCTCAAAGCAAAAGAGACTTGGAAGATGCAAGTTAAAAGGATAGTTTCAAAGATTATAAATTGGTGATTGACGTTAGAGAAATACTTCCCAAAGTAGAGGTTCTTAACTTTTAAATCATTTAAAATCTTAGTTTTACTTTTGACTTGTAAACTGTGTGTGGTACCAAATTTATAGAGGCTGTAGAGTACTTAGTTCTTTTTTAATCACATGGCTAAAAATGTATTATGTGTAATCTAAGCCTTCGTTATCTCAGAGCATTGTTTACTTACAGCACAGTGTTCAGTCAGTGGGACTCAAATCTTCTTGTATATCACGGTACTGGAGACTGAGTTCTGTAATTCAAGGGTGGTTTTGTTGTCTAGGGTATGCTAATTATTCCAGTCTAATGCTAATCTATAGACTTATTTTGGGGAACCACTGCAGTAGGCCATTGTTAGAACCAATGAAAAAGTGTAGATTATTTGGTACTCTGGCATATAATGAAAACTCAGACCAACTCAACAAAGAAAACAAATCTGAAAAACTTCTTAGATAACTTGTAACTAGGTAAAGGTGTGATTTATACTGACCCTTTTTAATTCTGGATTTCACTTAAAATCACTTTTCTCTAGGTTAGTAACACTGAGGAAATCACTTTTGAAGCATTGAAGAAAGCAATTGGTGAGATATTTTGCACTTGTTAGTCCAATATTTAACTTACCTTTATTTGGTACTTTTTTCAGTGACAGAGTAAGCAGAGGTGGCATTACAAAAACAAAACCAAAAAAACTTGTTGATTTTTATATAAATGTATCATTTAAACTACAATCTTTAGGCTTAAAAATTGTCTTGTCCCATCACGGTCATGTTCTTGAAAAGACAGAATTATAGCAGTGATACTAAAAAAGGCATTTATTAATTTACTTTCTCACAAACTTTGTCTAGATCATACATCATCATAAGATCAAAACAATCCCTTTTGAGATTGTGGTGAATAAATGGAAAAGGCTACAATAACACAGTTCCAAAGGACCCCATTAGTATTTCAGTTATTCCACTGAATACCAAGATTCAGTTTAACAGGTATTTTATTTAGTGTCTCACCTCTGCAAGTGCATAGTTATATAAAAGAGTCCCTCAGGAAGGACCTTGAAGTAATTCGACTTGTAGGAAGCTCCTGTTCCTTGCTGTGTTTTGGTCAGAGAGACAAAGGTATTCTATGAAAGAGAATCTTATACGATAGAGTTTTAACCCTTAGAGTTTTTCTTTCGTGTGTGTGCCTTAAACAAGGCATTTCACAGATTTCTTTTCTTGTAAAAATAGCCCTGTAAATTGCCCTTATTTTTGGATGATATATCATTAGCTCTTAATGGTCATTGACTGGTTCTGTGAAATTCTGTATTCCTTTTAATGAGTATGAACATTTATATAGATACCAGTGGAATGGAAGAACAGGAAAAGGAAAAGAGGCGTCTTGTGATAGAGAGATTTCAGAAAGCACCTTTTGAAGAAATAGCAGCACAGTGTGAATCCAAAGTAAGTGAACAAATGGTGAAGGGATTGTAGGTGGACTGTGGTTTTATCGCAACTCTTACTTGGTTCTGTTGATTTGACTAAGTTCCAAGCTTTAGTCAAATCAACAGAACATAGGAAAATATATCAGACAAGGACTGAAAACTCTGAAGGTATATCTTTGAGGCCTAAATAATTTCTTTGTGTGATGTAAGCTGATATAAATGGTAGAACTGTTTCCCCAAATTAAGTGTTGGTGATTGTTATTGATTTGATAGTCTTTTTTGCAGTGGTTTTCCGTTATCTTGCTGCAGGTATTTTATTTTGTGTGGGTGTTTATTTGTTTTTAACAGTGAGACTAGGAAAGGTGAAAAAAGATAACCCTTATATTAAATTCTAATAGATAAGACAGATCAAACCAAAACATTAAAGCATTGCATACTTAATAATTAATCAGCTTAATAGTCACAGTTACACTTTGTCCTTTGTTTCTTAAATTACATTGGTATTATTACATGTAGATACTTAGAAAATAATCCTTAACATTATTTTCTTTTTTGCAGGCAAATTTGCTTCATGATAGACTTGCTCAAATATTGGAACTCACCATACGGTAAGGGTTTTGTTACTATAATAGCAATAACTCACACACACTAATAGAACCTGTCAGACCCTTATGAATTTGTGGTTCATTATTTTAAGGTATTATGTTTAAGTAATGCTTATTATTTAGGATTAACATAAGATCATGTAGGTAATCCTTTGCTTAGTAGTCATTTCTGTTTATTAGGCAGAGTCTGATACCCTTTCTTGACTAGTTGTCTCCTAGCTTTTCTAGCATCTTTTTTAGACTATTCATTTCTTCCTGATGATCTTATAAGGACATCTGGGTAATTTGAAAGACCCATATTCTAATCTTATGTTTAATTAAGAAAATGCTCATATTGAATCATTTTGATCTGCAAAACAATGCATTTTAATATGTCAGCCTCATGGTTCTTTTCAGGGCAGTAATAAGTCTCGCTATACAGATGACTCATTTCAATTATTACACTTTCCTTTAGTTTTTTTTTTACATAATATTCATTTGCATTCTGTTGTGAATTATTATGCTCTTTGATTATCCTTTGTCTATACATTAACAAGAAATGTAGCACCTGAAGGAAGGGGAGGCAAACTCTAGGTTCCATCTACAGAAGGAATTTTTACATAGTCTTATACTGAGTTCAGTGTGGAAACCCACCTTTATGACAGTTGGCCAGTAGGGATAGCTATGCTTCTGGAAATATTTTGTATATCAGCTGTATCTTTTGTATTTTTAACTGGATTAATTCTGTTTTGCTTCAACCCTGTATTAACATTAGAGAAAGATAAATGCTCTATTCCACTTGCTTTTTTATTTTAGTCTTTTTTCTGCTTTCATAAGCAAGGCACATTTTTGTCATTATATATCTTACTCTAGACACTTCCCCCTCATTCCTGCTACACTCTCTAAGTTGAGAATCACTCATTTACAAAATTTAAGAACAGAAAATCAGACAAAAATACTCAATATGTGCTAGACAAGAGGTCCCCAACCCTCAAGTCTGTAGACCTGTGCTGGTCCATGGCCAGTTAGGAGCCAGGCCTGAAAGCAAGAGGTGAGCTGTGGGCAGGCGAACGTCACTGAGCTCCACCTCTTGTCGGATCAGCAGGCATTAGATTATTATAGGAGCAAGAACCCTGTTGTGAACTGATCTGAGGTGGAAGTTTCATCCTGAAATCATCCCTCCAACCCTCACCTGTGGAAAAACTGTCTTCCACAAAACTCGTCCCTGGTGCCAGAAAGGTCGGGGACTGTTGTGCTAGACTTAGGATTCAGTTAAAATTGCTGGGTATGGACATTTACTTCTTTTGATGTCTAAACGTCAAACATTTGATACTAAATGTCTGCTGTGTACTTGATCTTATGATCATGGTTTATATCTGTTATTCTTGCTAATCCTCACCATAGTCCTGAAAGGTAGGTAGACACTGTTTTTTTCACTTTTTAGGTGAAGACACCAAGGCTTAGAGAAAAGTAAAATAACTTGCTGAAGGTCATACAACTAGTGAGTGGCAAAGTCAAAATTCAAAACCATAACTTGATGTTCTTAAAAGGAATGTTGCTAGAGATCACCATGTTACTTGTAGTCAGACTAGCATAACTATATGAATTTAATATTTTAGAATAAGTATTATAACTAATTTTGTTTCATTGGTACCACAACTACTACTAATAGCCTTCACTGAACAGTTACTACTACTAATTAACATTTATTAAACACCTATGTTGTTCCAAGCACTGTGCTAAATGTGTTTTTTTATTTAATATCTGCAGCAGATCCTAACAAACAGATAGTGATGATTCTCATTTCACGTGTTTATAAACAGAGATACATAGAAGTTAGGTAACTTATACTGGGTCACCTATTTAGTACGTAGTAGCTTGTGGAGAAAGTAAACAGACATTATAGAAATGTGCCTTCACAGTTTTCAGGTCCTATCTGTTACATTTCCTCTTGTTAATTTATCTCACCCTAACCATTAGACAGAGGAAAGAGTTTGTATTCCTCATAAAAGAAACAAAACCACAATATTACGCTTCACTCTCACTGTTTTTCTTTTACTCTGACCTGAGTATGGTTAAAAACACAAGAAAGGCAAAGAAGCAGTAATATGCAGTGAGAATAAGTAGCCTCACAGAAAACCAATTTATTCGAATTAGTAGAAAAAGCCCTTAAAACACTACACTCCCTCACCCCCTCTTCGGCCCCACACACAAAGTCAAAGAATTTAAAGGACAAGATACATATAGTTTGGAGAGAAATGTGTGTGGCAGCTGCGTATTCTCACCCTAATTTCTTGTTTCTTTGCATTATAATTGCAAATTTTAATGTTCCTCTCATAAGAGTACTAAAACATAATAAGAAAACAAAAATGCAGAAAGGATATAAGATTTGAACCATCTCAATCAATTTAAGTGACCTTTCAAAAACACAATTCTAGGCAACTACAGAATATGGATTCTTTTGAAGTGCATATACAATATTCACAAAATAGACTAATGTGGGACTATATAACAAGTGTAAGTAAATGTCAGGAAACTGACATGTTAAGTCACCAAGTTGAGTATGTTCTCTCACCACAAAAGAAATTATAATTCATTAACACATCTAGAAAATTTCAAATATTTGGAAATTATAAGATACCCATAGGTCAAAGAAGAAATGACAGGAGGAATTAGAAAATATTTTAAACTGAAAACACATACCAAATTTTGTAAGATGAAGCTGAAATAGTGCTCAGGAAGAATTTTATATCTTTAGATGCTTTTGCTTGCAAAGAAGAAAGATCTAAAAGCAGTGAATTAACAAATTCTGGTAAGACATTAGAGAAAGAAGAGCAACAGAAGCTAAACTAAGCATATCAGAAGTCAGTGAAACAGAAAATAGGCAAACAATAGAAAATATTAACAAACCTAAAAGTGTGTTCTTTGAAATGGTTGATAAAATTGGTAAACCTCTAGTAACAGTGTTAAGGAAGAAAAAGAAAACACAGATTACCAATATTACAAATGAAAAAAGGATCATCTCTATAGATAACAAATAAATATTATAAACAATTTTATAAAAATAAATTCAACAATTTAGATGAAATGGGCAAAAATCATTGAAAGTCACAACTTAACTAAAATTGACACAAGAAGTAGTAAAACATCCAAATAACCCTACAACTGGAAATAAATTTGCAATTTAAAAGCATCCTGCAAGGAAATGCATTTAAATTTACTGCTTACTTTGATCAAACGTTTAGGTAAGAAATAATACTGGTTTTATACATACTCAGGAAACAAAAAAGGTTGAAATGTTTTCTAACTCATGAGGCCAGCATAGCCTCACTACTAAAATAAGACGATATTTTAAGAAAAACAAAATTATAGACAAATACCCCTCATAAATATAGTCACATAAATCTTTATCAAAATATTAACAAATGTATAAAACTGATGATATGGATGGCCTAAATAAATGGAGTCACTATGAAGAAAGCAAGATCAGTTTTACATGAGAAAATTGATCAGTCAGCAAAATTCACCACATTGACATAATAAGAGAGCAAAGTTGCATGATCACACCAGTAGTTGCAGGAAAAAAAAGAGTTTGAAAAAGCTCAGCATTCATTTAAGACAAAAATTACAGAAAATTAAAAATAGAAGGGAACCTAACCTGATAAAGAGTAATTACAGAAAATCTATTGCTGATGTTATGTGTAATGGTTAAAGTCTGATGCTTTTTACCTAAAACTGGGGACAAGTCAAGGATGTCTACTCTCACAGTTTAAAGAATAATTATATGAAATCAGTATCTGTGCATTTATTAATTAAAATGAAAACATTCTTAACCATGAAGTAATAAGTTCAAAGAACTATGTAAGACTTAAATGAAGAAACTATACATTTCTGAAATATGCTTAAGAATATTTATATAAATGGAAACTAATCTTATTCTTGAATAGGAAGTTAATATAGATATCAGTTTTCTGTAGATTGAGCTATCATTTTAGTAAGATCAACTTTTTTTTATTTGAACAAATGATGCTAAGGGCAGTGTGACAGGATCTACATACAAGAGCAATCAGGATAATGCTGTAGAAAAAAAAAAGGGAGTATTTGCCTTGCTTAGTAGGAAAACATATGACAGATCTTTGGTACTTACATCAAATTGGACCTGTATATGGATAAGTAGAAGAGAGGAAAATTCAAGTATAGAAGGTAACTGTGGTAAAGGTAAGATTTCAGATTTTCAAGGAAAAGAGTTACTGTTCAGTTAATCTGGTTTGAACAACTAAATACTATTGACCAGTGATGGAGGGTCCAGGGAAGATTTCCACTTCACTTCCTTTACCAAGATAGACAACTCATTAGAAGAATACATAAAAACACTAGAATTAATACAGGAGTATTTTTTGTAATCTTGATTTGGGAGAAAAGGTTTTCTTAGCAAAACTCAAACACTAAAAATTATTTTAAAAAAGTCATTGCTTGTTTGGGTAAGGTGTTTAAGCATTCGGCAGCAAAAAAAGTTGAGAATTAAATGATCAATTGGAGGAAAGCATTTGTATTATATGATAAAAAGTTAGTTTCCCAAACTGATAAGAAAAAAATACCTGAGTAGAATTAGAAGCAGTGGGCTTAAATAGGCAGTTTACATTTTCCATGGGTGGGGGTTGGAGGGATGATTTCAGGATGAAATACTTACCATTAATAGTAACATAAAAATTAAGAAGTGAATTCCTTTCTGCCTTTCAGATTGGCAAAGATTTTTTAAAAAATATTTATTGTATCTAATAATTATTACAATGTAAAAGGTACAATGAAGTGCTGAAGTGTAAATTGCTGGTATTCTGACAATATGTATGTACCAAAGTCAACATTTTGAATACACTTTGATGCAGAATTTCTATTTGTAAGACTATAAACCAAGAAGGCACCGGTCAGAATAAAATTATGTATGTATAAGAATAGACTTGTGAACATTATCATAATGAAAAATGGAAATGAACCTGCCTTTGTCCACTGGATTAAATCAAGTATGATATATCTATATAATGAAATACCATAATGTCATCTAAAAAGATGATATCTGTATACATGAAATAACTTTTTACTAATGAAACAAAGCAGCTCACCAAAACAGATAGAGTATAATCACATTTAAAATTGTAAATACGTATTTTCCAAGGAAAATGTGTGCTTAGACTTAAAAACAGTTTGACACTACTGTGGTCTATTTCCCATACAGCCTGTAGCTGGCCAGCAACTACAGTGGCATTGGTCTCTGCAATTAAGGAGTCTGACTTTGATATTTGCAGATAGTAGATAGAGTACTCAGTGAATGAACAGCTTGTAAGTGCATCTGCTGACAGTGCTTCTTTGTTCTTTTACAGTCCTCCTCCCAGTCCATCAGGAACACTGACCATCACTTCTGGGCATGCCCAATACCAATCTGTCCCAGTCTATGAGATGAAGTTTCCAGATCTGTGTGTGTACTGATGGGCTTATGAAGACTTCAACATATGATTTGTAAAGCCTAAAAATCACGGCCAAGCTGAGCTTTCAGGGTTTACTTAATGTGTATTAACATACTTCATGAAAATAATGATGGCACTTATCTTTAACCAAATGCTTGGCATACTGTATTAGAAGTTTTGGAGCTATATATAATTTTGAGTACTTTCGAAGATAGATTTATGCCATGTTAATTTGCTTTGAGGTTCCTGTTGCCTTTTAAAGTTGAACATGCTTTGATTTCACTGTATTCCACTGTTAAGTAGTATATTTTAAACTTTTCACAAAGGTAATTTAAAAAAAAAAAAAGTAAGCCTTCAGAGGATTGAGACTGTGTAAATTGTTTATTTCTTAAACGTCTACACAGCTGCTTAGATGTAGAAATTTTGTTGTTTTCTGCAAAGACAGATACATTCAAATATATTCCTAGTCCTGGGGCTGCAAAACTGTTTGGTGGCTTTTTGTCCCCATGCTTTAGATAAGCTGGGATAGGCACCTTGCTATTCATTTACTATAATAATATGTGATAGGCATTCCTCATCTTGTTCACAATAAGAGGACATCTGTTGTATAGCATTCCTTGAACATGACCCTGAAAACGCCATACTTTAAATTGTCCGGTTCTTGTAATACTGTGTTTCCTGCCAAGAGTTTGACCATTCTGCTTGAGAACTGTAGAGCTTACTCTTGGAGTACCAAACCGTGCAATATTTTCACATCATAAGATGTATTAGTTTACAGGCTGTGCTTTGAAATTGTAGTATTTTGCTGTGGCTCCATAAATTAAATGAGATATATATTTAGTACAGAAAAAAAGACATTTAAAACAGCTACTAGTTCACCTGTGAAGAGTCTGTACTTTTTGATTTCCATTAAGAGCACATTTATTTACATTTGTATATTGTGCATTGTTTTAAATCCTCATAGTCAAAAAGTTCTGCAGGTGGAATTTTAATTTGTAAGATTTGAACTGACTTGTATGCATCTGTTTAGAATTAGTTAGTTATATTTGAAAAACTGCCTGTGTTTTAACAATCAAGTGTGCTAAAGTTCGTCAATTTAAGCTACTTTTGATTTCAGCTACCAAGATCACAGGTGCACTCTACACATACACTGACAGCCCCATAACATTAGGTACATCTTAGTGAATTTATCACATGGTAAAATGAACAGCTTTCTTTGTAACTCATAAAATTCTCTTAGGACATTTTTATAAAGTCACCTGTTTATAGTTCTATCTTTTCAGATTCCTTTTTTTTTTTTTTTTTTTTTTACATGAAACAGCCTACATACCAAAAACTGTAGCCTAGAAAACAGTTTAATTTTTAATTTTTGTTTTTGTTTAAAAAAATTGCAGTGAAGAATGGGATGTTTGTGTTTATGGTTATTTGGGCACCTTTAGTAGGAACAGAAAAAAGTAGAGAAATGATAATAGGACAAGCATACTTGAAAATTTTTGAATACTTAAACAAAAGTGGAACATCTTGAAAAACAGTCTGGTCATTGAGACCTATGAAATGACACCCAAACATCCTGGGCTGCTTATTTAATGTGGATCAACAAGACTTGTTTCAGAATGACGGAGGAGTCGTCGTCACTGGAGAACTGAAGGGCCCTGTCACAGTTGTCACTGGAACTTTGCCTCTTGATGAGGTAAAATGCTTCACCAATCAATAAAGTCAAGTTGGTTTTTTTTCTTTTCTTTTTTTTTTTTTAAATTTCCCCTTTTTCCTTCTATATTTTTAAAGAAGGATGTTAATTTTTGAATATATATTTTAAAAAATCTAAGCAGGGGGACATGCAAAAACAATCATCATCCAGTTGGATGTCATTTTATAGATTAACACTGTGTGCTTTTGTATGGAAAAAATATATATAATTTAATAGTATAAAAAATAAAATATATATTCATTTGCACTCATGTGAAACACAAACTTTGCTCTACAAAATTTCATGTTTCTTAGTGATTTTAAAATGCATGTACTGCATGTAAAGAAAAACCGTTACAATTAATGTTTATCACACCTTTACCTTGGTCTTTGTTGATTTGAGTTTTGTTGGGGTTTGTGTTACTGTTTTGAAATCACAGTAGGCTTCTATATGGATTTCTGAACTGGTCTTGTTGACAAGGATTCCCAAGAAATGGATCTTTTCACTGGCTGACTCTCCCATGTCTGCAGGAGATTCTGCAGGAACTGGGTTTGCACACGGTGTTGTAGCCAGTTCAGGTACTGAACATTTAGGATTTGTTGAAGTTCATTGTATTGCTATATTTTTGTAGATTATATATAAAGTGCTTAAATAAATTGTTAATCATTCTCTTTTTGCTGTATAGAGTTGTTTGTATCACTCTTTCTTTCATGACACTGAACAGTTAACATTTAAATGTTCTTCCCGTACTTGTGTTGACTGTGACCACTTATATACAGTTTTGCTGTTGTTGGAGTTTACCTGAATACATATGCGTGCGCACACACATACTTCCTTAATACTTCTGAACTCATTATCTTTTAGAATAATACTACACTTTACCAGCAATTAACTTCTCTCTACCCCAAATGTCTGAAAATGGAACTAATTTGTCTTATTCAATACCCATATCTGTATTAAATGTAATGAAGTTAGTTTTTTAAAATGTAAAAATTCACTGTCCAATTCATATGTAAGCAATAAAACATAAATCAGATTACTTGTATATAAGTTCATTTTTTATAATAGCCATTATTACATTTAATTAAATTTATTCAATATTTGCTTAAATTAAAAATGAAGAGCTTCTTTTGAGCCCTGTAGTTCAAGGCTACAGTGAGCTAGAATTATGCCACTAGACTCCAGTCTGGATGACAAAGCACAACCCCATCTCAAAAACAAAAAATGAAGAGCTTTAGTAAAAATTAATTTACCAAGTGGATTCATTCCCCTATACATTGAAAGTATGAGAACGATAACTGTTGGTCATGACAAGATGTAGTAAGGTAAAGTTCATAGTGTGTGCTTGTGAAAGTGTAGTTGCCATCTCTGCATCGGTCTTAATGATTGTCTTTTCAATTCTACCTCCTTGCCCTATACATTACACAAAGAGGCCAGGCAGGGAGGCCAAGGCAGGTGGATCATGAGGTCAGGAGTTTGAAACCAGCCTAGCCAACATAGTGAAACCCCATCTCTACTAAAAATACAAAAATTAGCTAGGTGTGGTGGCATGTGCCTGTGATCCCAGCCGCTCGAGAGGCTGAGGCAGGACAGTCACTTGAACCCAGGAGGCAGAGGTTGCAGTGAACCAAAATCACCCCGCACTCCAGCCTTGGTGACATAGTGAGACTCTGTCTCCAAAAAAAATAAAAAGCATCTTTATATATATTTTATATATAAATATTTGTATTTTTTATTTATATAATATGTTTTTACATATATAATATATATGTAAAATATAAATAAAAATACATATTTAATATACATTATATATGTTGTAAATATATATTTTTTATTTTGTAAATTTATATATTTTATAATACATACATTTACAGCCGGGCACGGTGGCTCAAGCCTGTAATCCCAGCACTTTGGGAGGCCGAGGCGGGTGGATCACGAGGTCAAGAGATCGAGACCATCCTGGTCAACATGGTGAAACCCCGTCTCTACTAAAAATACAAAAAAAAATTAGCTGGGCATGGTGGCGCGTGCCTGTAATCCCAGCTACTTAGGAGGCTGAGGCAGGAGAATTGCCTGAACCCAGGAGGCGGAGGTTGCGGTGAGCTGAGATCGCGCCATTGCACTCCAGCCTGGGTAACAAGAGCGAAACTCCGTCTCAAACAAAAAATATATATATATATGTATATATATGTATATATATATACATTTACAAAATGTAAAATATATATCATATATAATTATTTTATTTACATATATATAATATATTATACATATATACTCTCAGTACCCTATCCCCCCAGTTTGCTTATTCTATCACTTACAAAGATGTGCATCGTAGCCTGAATGCAGTTCAGGAACCTCCTTTGTTAGCAATGTAGCATGGCAGTGAGGAGCTCAGCCTCTTGTTCACAAATTCAGCACCACCACTACCTTACTAACCTTAGGCCAATAAGTGAACTTTGATCTCTGAAGTCCTCATCTGTAAAATGAGTATGGTAAGTTCTGCCCTACAAGGTTAGCTGTGAGTAAGTGAATCACTTATAACTGAGTTTCCCTGTGCCATGCCTACATGACACAGAGTAAGCATTCAATAAATGATTAATAATAATCATCTTTGTGTTCACCACACTGGGACATAAGCAACCTGGGCAGCTCTCAGCTCTGTAGTTTAGGTCAGCCATTCCACGTTTCTGAACCTGTTGCCATGGGTATAAACTTAGCACTCTGCCATCCTGTATAATTTTCTTCCAACTCTAAGTTGCTGTGATCCTGTTACCTGTTCTCTCATAAAATTATTTATCTCAAGTACCAAGTTCAAATGACGGAAAAAGCAGAGGCAAGATGGAACATCAAACTCTGCCTCTTAGTATTGCGCCAGTCAGCCTTTTACCTGTATTTGAATCAGAGGCAGACTATCAGAAAGGCTCTGTCTTAGGTTTTAGCCTAGGTTTCTCTAAAGCAGACCCTGAGACAATGTGTGTGTAGGTATTACTTTGGGAATTGATCTAACATGGAAGCAGAAATAGCCAATTTAGAGGATTTCTTGGTTGTCTATCACTTGAGCTCCCGACTAGCCATTCCACTGGACATTCTAAGGAGTCTCATAAAAATAATCTCAAAACTACCCGGGGGATGAAAAATTGGGAAAGCATTTATTAGTTGGCTTCTGTTCATGGTCGAAGGTGGCCCTGTGGTCATTAACTCTGCCATATTTTTTGACTATATGCTTGAGTGCTGAGCTGTTACCCCAGGTGTCCCATTCAACCCCGTCTCAGAAACACTTCCTATTCTTGGGGAAGTCGTGTGCCAGAAGTCGGGAAGTACAGCAGTACAGCAAACAGGTGGGTGTTGTCATTCCGCCTCCATGAGGCAGCTGGAGTCTGTGTGGAACTAGTTATCACAGCAGGGTCTGAAGGGATAGGTGGGGACTAGAGGATGTGAAGATAGCACCATCTAGTCTGGTATTTAAGAACAAGACTAAATCCAGGAGCATTTGGTTTATAATTTCATATTTTCTCCATCTTGCTCACGGGTTTTGGCTGTGATACCTCCTGCACCATTCTATTTGCTGACCCTTTGCTTTTCTTATCCTACTTTATCTGTATGTTATAGCTGTGCACTTGTAGAATTCCCGATTGAAGAGACTTAAGGGCTGAAAGAATCTAGAGTCAAGTTCATTCAAAGCTTACATTTAACAAATGAGAACAGTGAAAAGACTGAAAGCTGACAGTACTCATTCACAAACTAACCTAAACTAGTAAACTTCTGATTATAAAATCAACTTTAGTATACCTGAAAATTAGGAATCCCATTCCATACCTTAAGATAGCAAGAAAATATAAAAAGTAATCATCTCAAATATGGCAATTATAAATCATCTAAGTAAAGAAATTGAAATTAGGGATGTGAGGTATTCAACTTAGTCTACAGTAGGCCCTTTTTAAAAAGAAAAACTTTACTGAGCTATTATTCACGTACCACAAAATTCACATTTTAAAGTGTATAATTCAGTGGCTTTTAAGTACATTCACAAAGTTAAGCACTGATCACCACTATTTAATTCCAGAACACTTAAGTCACCAAAAAGAAAACACATATTCCTTACCAGTCACTCATTTTCCCTTCCCCACAGGCCCTGGCAACTGCATTTCTCGAGTGACTAATGTGGAACATCTTTCCACATGCTCATTAGCCATTTGCACATCTTGTGTGGAAAATACGTATTCTGAATCTCTCACCCATTTTTTATGGGTTGTCTTTTTATCGTTTTTACATTACAGTAGCCTCTCATCCCTAGCCTGCACCCTTTCCAATTTTTTCTTTTGCTGCCAGATTGATCTTTCTGAAGTGTAGGAAGCATTACTTAAAATACTTCTCAGACTTTTCTATACCCAATAGAAGCCAGACTTCCTTCCCCAACATTATAGGGCTTCCGTCCTTGTTATAACACCAGTCGTTCTGTTTCCTGAGGAAGTGACTAACATGAGTCCTGTTTTGGATGTGTTAAATTTAAGGTACCTGGGGAGCATCCAAGTAACAGAAACTAGCATGAGGTTGAATATTCAGGCCTGGAAATCAAAGATTTGGTAGTGATTCAGAAGTCAAAAGCATATTGACAATAATTAAAACTGAAAATGAGTAAGCGTATCCCAAGGGGGAGAGAGTTTGTGACTTCTGAAAAGTGCTGGCCCCAAATAGACACCTGAGAACACATAGCTTTAGAAAGAGAGGCTGCGTAAGGGACCAAGAGAAAGACACAAGAAGTTAGAAGAGCTACTTGTTCACGTTTGCCCATTCCCTTTTTCAAACTATTAGGATTTGACATCTAAAAATGTCCTAGAAACCATATAAACTAAGGTGGGGAAAAAAGTCTTTCTCCCCACCCATTATTGATTTATACTGTAGGAGGAGAAATTACCATCAGAATCCTGTAATCTCAGGGAAAGTATCATCTTTAAATTCCCTGCTAGCTCTAGCTTTTTGAAATTCTGTCTATAGTGTAGTGCTATGAAGACTATTTTCACTGAGTCGTAGCATGTCAGACCTGGAATAATCCTTAGAAGTCATCAAATCTAACTCTTTTACTCTGGCTTTCTGGAGCAGAATGGAACTGTTCCCTCCCTTCCCTATGCAGCTAGCAAGACAGGCCCAAGGGAAACGATGTGAAAGGAAAAGTGACTGAAGAGGCTAAGCAGGATAGAGGTGGGTGCTTACTCCAAGACACAGCAGGGAATGGGACATGGCAGAACTTTTAAGTTCCAATTCAGTTAAGAACTGTCAGAACCTTCTCTTAAAACATAAGTTCACTACTTGTGCTTAACAATATTTATAGGGAAAACCATTAAAGATTGTTAAGCAGAAGTAGCGAATGTAATGTGTTTTAAAAGAACCAGTATGCTTACTCTTTAGACAGACACTCAAGGCCTTTCACAGTCTAAACCTACCTTGCAGATTATTTAGCATAAACTCAGAATTTTTTATAAGACGGTATCTTTACCAAGGATCTGGGATGCCTGAATCCTGCCTTTACCAGTCAGCCAACCAGGGTGAATTTCTTGATAAGCTATTAACATAAAACAAATGTACTTTATTCCCCCATTATCCACAGGGGATATATTCCAAGACCCCCAATGGATGCCTGAGGCCGTGGATACTACCAAACTCTATATACCACTGTGTTTTTTCCTATTATACATACCTATGGTAAAGTTTAATTTATAAATTAGGCACAGTAAGAGATTAACAACAATAAGCTCATAGAAAAATTATAACAATATACTTCTATAGACAAAAAATAAGGGTGACTGGAACACAAGCACTGCAATATTGCAGAAGTCCATCTCATAACTGAGATGGTCTCTAAGTGACTAATGGACATGTAGTGTCTATAGCACAGATATCCTGGACAAAGGAGCGATTCACATCCTGGGTGGGATGAGGTGGGGTAGTGAGAGATTTTGTCACACTACTTAGAAGAGTATACA